GGAAACTCCATAGAATCTCTGTTTGGGCTCTTTTACAGTAAGCAAACAGTTCCTGAGCACCTGGAGCCAAATGCTTCCAGCCTGGAGGCAGGTACCAGCTGTGAAACTGTTCTACACGAAAGTGTATCTGTTCACAAACCACGGTGCAGTCACGCACGCGTGCTGGGTACGTGAGCTGGTTCCAACCGCTTCTAATCCCAGCCCTCCCCTCTTCCATGCAGTGTGGGTGGGGCTGGCCCTGCTCCCCAAGTGCAGGAGGGGGCACGGGCGCCCTGCCCATCAGAGCACTCCATCCACGTGGGTGGAGATGTCCACCAGACCCCCTGGGGCAGGGAGTTACGGGCAGGAGGTTAAAAAAAACTTTTAGGAATCGTAGGTGGGATTTAGAGCTACGGGGAGGTGAGCCAGGGGCTTCCAGCTTTTGGTACATAAAGAAAGTCTGCGGAGATGAAGCTGACACCTTGGGGTGTCCTCTGCTTGGGGACAGAGCCAAAAGATGGTCAAAAAGTTGGTCCTGATGGAAACATTTTAGACCCTGGATCAAATTATGTCTCAATTTTATTCTTTTCATAGACTTTATTTTTTTAAAAAAAGATTTATTTTAGAGAGAGAGAGATGGACAGAGGGAAAGGGAAAAAGAATTTCAAGCAGACTCCCCACTGAGGGCAGAGCCCGACATGGGACTCGATCCCACGACCCTGAGATCATACCTGAGCCAAAATCAAGAGTCGAAAGCTTAACCGACTAAGCCCCCCGGGCGCCCCTCATAGAATTTACTTTTTAGAGAGGTTTTAGGTTCACCACAAAATTGAGCAGCAAGTACAGAGCTTTCCCATGTCCCTCCTGCCCCCATACATACATAGCCCATCACCAACACCCCCACCAGAGTGGGACACTTGCTGTAATCGATGAACCCACAGTGACGCACGATGGTCACCCACCAAGGCTCACTCTTGTACGTTCCAAGAGTTTTGGCAAATGGATAATGACATGTGTCTACCATTATAATGTCACACAGACTAGTTTCACTGCCCCCCAAGCCCCCTGTGCTCCGCTGCTTATCCCTCACCACTAAGCGATGGCAACCATGGCCCCTTGCGCTGTGTCCAGAGTCGTGCCTTTTCCTGAGTGTCATAGAGTTGGAATCATATAGCTTGTAGCCTTTTCAGATTGGCTTCTCTCACTCTGTCATATGCACGTAAGGTTCCTCAGTCTTCTCCTGGCTTGCTAGCTCATTTCTTTGCATCCCGGAATAACAGTCCATTGTCTGCATGGGCCATAGTCTGTTTATCCACCCACCTACCTGGTAGCTTCCAAGTTTTGGCAATTGTGCACAAAGCTACTATAAACATCCAGGTGCAGGTGTTTGCGTGGACCTAAGTTTTCAGCTCCTCTGGTGCCTCGGCTTTGTAGTTCCGTGAGCCTATAATTATCTTTATTAAGCAAGCCATTAGCAGCTGGGTGTGCCGTCATTTGTAATCACAGGAGTCCGGGTTCCAATGCGACTTTCCGGGTTATATGTGAGTCAGAAACTACCTGAGTCGCTAACCTTCACTCTGCCTGGTTTTGTCTGCTTTAAGGAGGGATAAGAATACCCCGGCTCGGCATATCACAGAACAGTTACCCTCGGCGGCTGGGGGACCATGTCAGCACATGAGGTTCTCGGCGGGCAGCACCCCAGGGGTTACACGTGCCCCACCTGTCTGCATCCCGGCCCTCAGCCCGGACTGCACGTGGGCAGGGACCCCCTCCGTCACTCCCAGCACCACTCGAAGGGTCCGGGCATCTGGACCCAGGCCTTTCGTGCTGCTTCATGATGGTAACCGGACATCACCACAGACGGAGAGCAAGATACCAGACCACCCCAAGACCAGTTGGGTGCGGGAGGCAGGCCAGAGGGTTATGAGTGAAGTCCCCTCTGGCTAAAGCTTCCTCAGCCAGTGGCCGCCATGTTGAATAGCAGGGATCCAGATCATTACCATCACGGCAGAAAGTTCTAGCAGTCAAGGCCGCTCTTGAGCCTTACGGTGTCATTTGAGACATTGGTTGAGCTTCTCTCCCTTTACTCCCTACTGCATGCCTAGGGGCATACAGTTGTTGTTCGACTCAGTGCTGGATTTTAGGCTGGCCCCCATTGTTCACAGGACGTTGTCATCAGACCTGCACCTGCTGTAACCACATCCCAGTGGGCGTTTGCTCGTACTGGGGAGAAGAAAATGATAACGCAACGTGTACGAAGGAGGAAAACATGATGCTGTGCAGTGTAAAAATGCAACAGAAGGTTCTCTCAAGTGGTGAGAAATAGGCAGCTTACACCAGAGGGCCGATGTCAGGCTGGAGCGTCTTCCCCACAGCAGCTGGGTTCTGTCACACATACAGCTGTGACTGGTAGAGTAACTTCACAGATGACATTGAGACACCGCGTGGGACACCGCAGGGCCAGGCTCCCGCATCACATGGTCTGGTGCTCGCGGGCGGGTGGGACTTCCTATACGTGCTGCGTGGTGTGCTGCCAAAAAGGCTGCCTGGCCACTGGCTCTGATCCAAAGCCGGCTCTGCTAGAACCAGCCTCTTCCCACCTCACCCCTGCCCGGACCACCTGTGTCTTCACAGCCCGTGTGCTTTACCCCCCACGGTGCGGTCAATCAAACGCACACTCATGCCCCTCTTTTCAGAATACTGTATGTTTTCATATAGTCACTTGGACGTACCTGAATAAATTATAAAAAGTTTCAAACTCAAAAGCAAGTGTATACTCATCTTTCGAGTTGATCAGAAAACAAAACATGAGCGAACCCTCTAGATAGCAAAGTGAATTCAGCTATTGTCCCGCGAGGTGCCCATTCTCCCTATCCCCCTCCACCCACCCTCTGGCCTCATGAGGAGAAAATTCAGCAGAATTTTTTAGGTAAGAGAGATCACTCTTTATTCACTTTCTTTTTCTGTTATTTTTTTTTTAAGATTTTATTTATTTATTTGAAAGAGAGATAGGACGAGGCAGGACTCGATCCCAGGACCCTGAGATCACGCCCTGAGCCGAAGGCAGACGCTTAACCAACTGAGCCACCCACATGCCCCTATTCACTTTCTTTTTCTTTTTCAGTAAAACATAAATATTTTTCCTAGGACTTTAATTATGCTTCTTACTGAAATAAATTATATTTAGCTTTGAGAAACTTGAATTCTTTCAGTTTCAGTTAACATTGATCAACTGTTGAAATATTTGGTAAAATTCAACCATAATTCACTGGGTACTTTGGATTTTAATGACCTTCTTTCCTCCTTTCTTTCATTCTTTCTTTCTGTCTTTTTAAAAGATTTTATTTTTAAGTCATCTCTACACCCAATGTGGGGCTTGAACTCACGACCCCAAGATCCAGAGTTGCACACTCCACCAACTGAGCCAGCCAGGCGCCCCGGTTTGCTTACTTCTAAGTGGACAGGGTGGATTTTTGCAGAACTGACTATGTTCTGACTCTGATACAGAATGGGACCATTACCTTGAGAAGAACAGAATCTAGCCAGAATAAGGGTAAACAAAGCATAGCATTTATTGGTGGTACACTGGACTCATTTGTGAAATCAAACATTGTCATAATAAGGCCAAAAGTACCCTGAGCTCCAGAACCTAAGACAAAAGAATTCCTCCACCTGGTTTTTCAACTAGACCTAGAGCCTCCAATCAAATTCTTTTTTTTTTTTTTTAAAGTAGGCTCTACACCCAATGTGGGGCTTGAACTCACAACCCTGAGATTAAAAGCCTCACGCTCTGCCGACTTAGCCAGCCAAGTGCCCCTCAAATTCTCGAGAGAGAATCTGATTGATCCTTCCCCCCACCCTCCAGGACTATTTTGGGTAAAATAAATACAATATTGAAAACAGAAGTCCTTGAATTTGCTAGACTGGGAAGGTTTTCCTTCAGGCAAACAGTTTAACAGGAAAGCTCTAAGGCGGCTTGTGGAATTACAGTCAGACCCCGTCCAGGAGTCCGAGCACCAGAAGGCTCTAGGAAAAGGGGGAAGACCACGAGTCCAGGAGGAGCGGTCATCTTTTCAGTTGGTTGCTGGCTTTGAAGCCCCAAGATCTTTCAGCTCGGCATCCCTCTCTCCTCCCACCCAGACCTGGGGGCGCGACGGGTCTCTGCACACGCATCCGACTATCACTGGGCCCACGGTGATGTTCCGATGGCAGCCACCTCCTCCATCTGTCTCATGACGTCCCTGCCCACAGCTGCTGTTCAAACGTTCGTTAGTGTCTGGAAGTGTCCTCCAACGTTGTTTTATGCCTTTTAGACAGCTAATTAGAAGCATCCGAGGTCTGTCAGAATTAAGTGTGAATTTGTCTCTTCAAAACTGTCTTCCACCTTTTGATGAGACTCTGGGCCTGGGACGGAGAGGGACAGAGACCCAAGGGTGAAGAATGGATTTGCCTTAGACGCTAGGGCAGTTCATCTGTTACCGCAGCGTGATGCGCTGGTTATGTTTGCAAGGTTTTGCAAAATCGGCGCAGGCCTTTAGGACTGGTTCCTCTGTGAACTTCATGAACAGAGGTAGAGAACAACCGGCCAGAAACTACCCCTGGGTACGGATTTACTTGCAGGGGCCCATCGGTTCTCTGAGCTACTAGGAGAGCTTTTAATGGAAGACCATAATGCACCCCACTGGTACACTCACACTCCCTCCTCCGTGGTGGTGTTGTCTTCCAGAATATTCCTTGATCCCCAGCTACCCCCTCAGGGTCTGTGGAAACACTCTTCCTCTCTTGTGTGAATTTCTGGGCTTCGGTTTTCCTCTTTCGTCTTGTAAAGGAAGATATGTTGAGATAATTTTGTTGTTGTTGTTAGAGAGAGAGAGCATGCATGTGCGTGCACAGGGAGGGGGAAAGGGGCAGAGGGAGAGAGAATCCTAAGCAGTCTCCCTGCCTAGCACGATGCGGGGCTCGATCTCACGACCTTGAGATCATGACCTGAGCCAATATCAAGAGTCAACCGCCTGAGCCACCCAGGTGCCCCTAAGAGAATTAATTTTTAAAAACTTTTAAAAATAGATCCTTTGTGACGTAGAATAATGTCCTTAATGTTATGGGATTCCATTAGGTTTAACATTTTAGGAAAACACCAGACCATCTTACACTCCCACCAGCAGTGTATGAAGGAGAATTCTAGCACCTCCATGCACCTGCCAGCACTTGGTCCAGCCAGTCTGTAGTATGCATGCAGTGGTTCTTGCTCCGGTTTTAATTTACATTTCCTAATACCCACATACCCCATGCTGTTGATGCCTCTCATTGTTTGAAGAAGGAGGGTAGGCTGGACCGTTTTATATACATATAAATACTTCCTATAACTATATATTCCCTGCTCTGGAGAGTCTCTCCTCCTTGGAGGAAGCCTGTAGGTGTGCTAAAAAGCATGAACTTTGGAGTAAGACTCGGGTTTGAATCCTGCCTCCATCACCCAGTCCCTGTGTGGCCTTGGAAAAGTGACCACATCTGGAAACTGGAAGTAAGAGTATTGCCAACCTCAGGAGTTTGTGAGGCTTAAATGGGATCATGCACGTGAGCAAAATGCAGACCAGAGAGCACATGGTCTAGAAATTCCACAGGGTAGCATTTTCCCCCATGGGCACATATTTCAACATATGTGACCAGCTGCACATACAGTCACAAGATGGGCCATGGGATCGTTCGGCCAAGCCAGATGGCATCTAACGGGTAACCAGCCCCGTGGTGCATTCCCAGCAGGAGGAGTCCAGATGATTTCCACCCGAAGTGAGGCACAAGGCATATGTTGTTATACTCTAGCTTGAGGGAAGAGTTTAATAATTCAGGCCCACTCAGGTACCTTCCCCAAATGTGACATAAGGGGTATCGCTCATTTGATGACTTCTGTCTGCAGAACGCACCCCGCCCCAGAGTGCACGGAATAGAAAATCGGAATTATGATTATGCTGTGAAGCAGAAAAGGCAGAGGCAATTATAACTCTAAAATCCTCTTCAAGCCTTCTGGGAAAGAAAAGGTGTCTGAACACTTACTGCTGAAATGACGTAGGTGGGTCTAAGCTCTTGCCTCTGAATTGGTTAACTGGAAGGTATCTTTTGGTTCAGCCAAAGAGTTCATGACAGCTCTCGAAACTACAGACAGGAAAGGCCCAAATCAGCCTCGGACAGTCACATTCGATTCTCCGTAGAACAAACTCCATCCCGGTTCATGTCCTGGGGCTGCAGCAGCCAGGCTGACTCTCAGGATGGGCAGACGACAGCGGCCTCCCAGAGACATTGCATCTCAGAAAGTTCTCCAAATTCAGAAGACTCCGGGAGACAGGGGGGAGGGGGAGGAGGCTGACAGAGAACTTAATTGTCACTTGTAGATGCTGTGGTGCCACTCAGCTTCACCTCCAAGTAGGGAAACAACCAGAAAGATTTCACATGGCCCCGCCATGCAGGAGGTCGCCAGCCATGCAACGTTATGTATGTGGGGCAAGAAAGCGCCTCCCCGCTGGATTCATTCTCTCTGCGAAGGAGCATTTAGAGAAATTAACCATGATGGTAAGAGAAACTGACTTACGAAGTGGGGAAGAAAAAAAAAAGATTCTTGGAGGAAAAGGTAAACTTAAAAGTTGTCAAAGGATACACAGCATTTGGTGTCTCTCTGCCTTATTAATATTTATTTTTATTTTTTTTAAAGGTTTTATTTATTTGACAGAGAGAAAGACATCCAGAGAGGGAACACAAGCAGGGGGAGTGGGAGAGGGAGAAGCAGGCTTCCCGCGGAGCAGGGAGCCCGATGCCGGGCTCAATCCCAGGACCCCGGGACCATGATCTGAGCCGAAGGCAGACGCTTAACGACTGAGCCACCCAGGCGCCCCTGCCTTATTAATATTTATTAAACCCAGGGAGGGGCAAAGCCCCCAAATGAGACCCACCCCCCTACCTCAGCTGCAAAATGACATCACCCGTGAGCCCCTGTTCACAACTGCTCTGCGCTGTTTCTTGTTCTGCAAACTTTAATAACAATTAAAGATGCCCTTAAGACAGAGCTCATACGATGGACTCTGAAAAACAAACTGAGGGTTCTAGAGGGGAGAGGGGTGGGAGGATGGGTTAGCCTGGTGGTGGGTATTGAGGAGGGCACATTCTGCATGGAGCACTGGGTGTTATGCACAAGCAATAAATCATGGAACACTACATCTAAAACTAATGATGTAATGTATGGGGATTAACATAAGAATAAAAAAAAAAAAGACAGAGCTCATAAAGCACCTTGGTACAGTAGTTCCTGTCCAGAGGATAAGGGCAAACAGGGAAATCTGCATTTAGATCCATTTACACCATCCATTACACAGAACTCTAACTGTGCCACTGGGCGTCCCTAGCTCTAACCAACAAATTGGGATTTTTAACTTGGGCCTGCCTTCCAGAAATGGTGATTGAAAGAGAAAATACATTGTGCTTTAATGCTGGGGACTTAAGAAGCCATCCCTGTCTTGGCTACTTGCTCCTACTGGAAAATGTTTCCCAGAGTAAATGTGGCCTCACGGACGACGGAGAAAATCTCATGGGACACAGGGATCCGAGCTAACAGGTGGAAGGCGTGGAAAATGATACTCAGTTCTTAACACCAGCACAATGGCACACGATTCCCGAATGGAAATAAAAGAAAGAACGATGCACCTTTTCCTTCTGCACAAGCTCTTCAACTTCCAGACAACTGTTCCACTCAAGAGTTGCGGTTGGAGTATTTCCACTAAAAAATGGCATGAGATGAAACCAACCCAAAGGATCTTATCGTTTCGATGGGGAGATAGAGTGGAGAGAAACCAGGGACAGCAGCGTTGGTGAGATTCTGCCCTGAAACAGGGTGCCCCGTGCAAGTCATGAAGTGTCCCTGTGGCTTCCCCTGGGAAGTCCCTGTCCCTCTCTGGTTGGCAGAATAACAGCCCCCCGAAATATCCCCGCTGTGATCCCCGGAACTACGAATATTCCAGGTTATGTGGCAAAATGGAAGGAAGGTTGCAGATGAAATTAAGGTTACTAGTGAGATGACCTTGAGATGGAGAGATGCCCCTGGATCACCCAGGGGGTCCCAATGTAATCAGAAGGTCCCTAAATGGGGGAGAGGCAGAAGAGCCAGGCCGAGCGATGCACTTTGACAGGGACTGGGCCCACGATGCCAGCTTTGGAGACGGAGAAGATGAGGAATATGGGTGCCCTCTAGAAGGTGGAAGGACAGGTGCCTCCCCGCCCACCACCAGAGCCTCCAGAAGGATTCAGCCCTGCCAAAACCCTGATATTAGGCCAATGGGGCCCATATTAGATTCTGTCCTACAAAACTGTAAGACAACAACTGTGTGTTGTTTTAAGCCACTAAATTTGTCGTGATTTCTTAGGGCAGAACAGAGGACTGACACATCCATCTATCCCCACCACAAGAGCCTCTAGACGACAGGAGGCAATGCACAGCAAGGTGTTCTGAAGAGCAGAAAGCATTTAACAAGTGGAGGGTTCTCAATATTGTCATAAACTAATATCCATTAGGGACTAACGCTCATTAGGCTTTAAGGAAACAACTGTTGCCTTATATAACGAGGGCATGGTACGTTACGTTAGAAAAGAGAAGATCCCACGTAACTAGGAACAATCATAAGCCACTCTGAGTTTGGCAGGGGTGGTCAGTGGTGGCGCTGACAGGCTCCCTCCACATGTGTCAGCATGGGAACCAGCAGGGCCTAACCCTGGCCTGAGAATGTGCAGTGATATCCACCGGGCTGTTACTAGAACTCTTTCTATATTCTCTCTCCTGGAGGCTAAGTTGGGGGAGGAGAACCCACAGACGCTGGCGGCGATGTCGTTCAGGATCTGGAGGAGTCACCTTTCAAGGAAGCAGACACAGAAGAAGGTGGAGCTCAGAGCTGTAGAGAGCCAGAATCCTGGAAACACGCCGTGGGCACCTGGGTCCAACCATTCCTGAAACTAGTGCAGCCCCTATCTCTGTCCCAAGCACCCTTGCTGAGCTTCCCTTGGGGATGAGCAAGATGAGGAAATATGAAAAGGTCTTCCTAAAAAGACCTTCAAGAGGGAAGCACCAAAGACACCCAGAGGTGCCTGAGCCAGCGGTGGATTTGTTCTCGGAATCCTACTGGGGGCGGCCTGGGGAACTGATCTGGAATGTCAATCCATGGAATTTGCTCTCGGAATCCTAGAGGGGGACCTGGGGAACCAATCTACAATGTCAATCTATGGACTTCGCTCTTGGAATCCTAGAGGGGGACCTGGGGAATCCATCTGGAATGCCAATCCATGGACTTTGCTCTTGGAATCCTAG